ACCCAGCCTTCTCTCGGGAGATTCTGAAAATTAAAAAAAAATGCAAAAAGTCTAAAAATATTGAATTTTGGTTTATACTTTTTTCAAATTAAAATAATTTATTGATGGATAGCAAAGAATTCAGAGTGAACATTTTGTCTTGAGCATGCATTAAAAAAAACTGTTTCAGTTGTTTAATGATTTAAAAAACAACAAAAAACTGTTGAGGTTAGCTTCGGAGGCAATGTGCAGATTGTCCCTGGGTAATGTCTGCTAAAGCTGGATTTCCTCCATCTCTGCCTTAGTTTTTAACCAGGTCTATATCATTTTCTTCATTATATTTTCACATGCAAGTGGATGCTTTTTATCAATATTGGTAAACTCTTAACAGTAATCTCTTCAAATATTGTTTCTCCCCCATTCTCTCCTCCTTCTTATTTTTAGATTTTAATTATAAATAAGGTACATTCTTTTTTTACTGGGTTACATATGACTGTTACACTCTTTTCTCTATTTTCTATCTTCACTATCTTCATGTCTCTTTGTGATTTAGTTTGGGAAGTTCCTTCTCCCATCTTCCAATTCACTAATTGTCTGTGCAGCTATGTTTAATCACTTGGTAAAGCCAATCCATTAGGTTTTTCAAATCAGTTACTATATTGTAAATATCTAAAATTTTGATAAGGTTCTATTGTATGGTTTTCAGTTTTCTGCCAAAATTCTCAATCTTATCTTTATTACTTAACATATAATTACTCCTTAATAATACCACTTCCTATTGGTAAATTCTTCACATAGGTATTTCAATGCCTCATTTTGACATGTGCATTATATGGATCCTGTGATTCAGATTAAATATTCTGGTATATGTGTGTGTGTGTGTATGTGTGTGTGTGTATTTCAATCTTATCTTCTTATAGTCTTCCTATGTTTTGAGAGAATAGTAGATCGTTCATATGAAAACCAGATGATTTTAGGCCGGGTGTGGTGGCTCATGCCTGTAATCCTAGCACTCTGGGAGGCGAGGTGGGTGGATCCATCAAGGTCAGAATTTAGAGACCAGCCAGTGCAAGAGCCAGACCCCTTCTCTACTAAAAATAGAAAGAAATTAATTGGCCAACTAAAATATATATATATATATATATATAAAATTATCAGGGCATGGTAGTGCATGCCTGTAGTCCCAGCTACTTGGGAGGCTGAAGCAGAAGGATTGTTTGAGTCCAGGAGTTTGAGGTTGCTGTGAGCTAGGCTGATACCCCAGCACTCTGGTCTGGGCAACCAAGTGAGATTCTATCTCAAAAAAAACACAAAAAAACCATATGATTTCATCTTCATCTGAAGAGGATTTATTAAATCCAATCAGGGATTGAGATCATTTAAACCTGGGTTTTAGTCCTTATAAGAAGCTGTCTATTCTATTTTACTTCTAAGAATTGTTCTCTTTCAAGATCTGAAATATTTCCTAGAACCCAAACTCTTTTTTTAAAAGTTTTTGAGCATTAATTTGTCATGAGACTAACTCTTTGATAGATCCTGAATTTCAATTTTGTTTTTCTACCTGTATGAGTTTATGGAGATTCACTCAGCCTCTTTATGACCACTTTCAAAATCAGCATAAAACTTTAAGGGAACAGAAACTCCAGGGGTGGGTTCATTTGTTGTGACTTCACTTCTGTCTCTTACAGCATTTTGCTGAATTTGCAATGCTTTGGTATTTATCTGAAGTTTTCAAACATTATATATATATATATACATATATACATATATATATACACACACACACACATACACACACACATATTCTTCAGCTTTTCTATTCTTATTGAAAGGAATAGTTTAACATTTTAAGTGAAGACAATTATTCAAAAGTTATAGTAGTTTAAACAGTAGCGGATGACACCTACCAAAATTCAGGAAATTCAAATGCTGCAGTTGTGGATATCCACACTGTCTTTCTAACCCTGTCTGCTGTTTCTATGCCACATACACCTGCTTTACTCTGCGTCACGAGATAGCCTAAACTCACCACATGCCTTCATACTTCTCTGCTTTATCCATCCTATGTTATCCTTCCAGACATTCTCTTGTTCCTTTCCATCTTTACAGTATGTATGTTTTTCAAAGTGGCACTCACCCACAGTAGCAGCTGTCAACCCCCTGCCCATATCCCCTGGGCAATCATCTGTATACCCTGGGAGCTTCTGTAAAACTCTGCTTAAGGACTTTTTCACTTCCCAAGAGAGTGTGGAGTCCCTGTGTAAGGAATGCTCCACTAGCATTGACCACCATTGTCTATAGTGGTAACTAGCTTAGCAATGCACTCTGATTTGCCTTCCTTTTATTCGCTGTCACATTTTCCTACCCCCTATAGGTATTTGTTGTGACCACCTCCCAAGTAAAAATAGCTTGCATTTGGATCCAAGTTTTCAGCTATTGTTTCTGGATAATTTATTTTAGAAAACATGAACTTGGAAGCCTCATTAATACATTTATTGGGAAGCCTTCAATGCTTCCCCACCTTATAAAATTTTAATAAAAAGATTCCAAGGCAAAAATATCAAGAATACATTGCAGGTATAAATGTGCTTTCATATTGCATGTGGCACATTTAAGAAAAGCAGTCAAGATAGCTTTCTCCAATGAACATATTTTTGAGAATATGTACAGGATTTGAAAGCCCTATAACTTATGTTGGATAATTAAAAAAGAGCATATTTTGTAGCTAATAATTAGTAATACATAGTGATTAAAGAGGATCTTTATGTAAGAAGTCTTGAGGTTCTAACCTAGATGATTAGTGAAAGCAAGATCCCTAACACACTAGTAGCAAGTTGACTGGTAATTTCAAGAGGTGCCAAAAGTTTTAATTTTCAACCCTGGATGAGATTCAGTTGGAAGCACATCTCAAATATATATTAAAAAAAAAAAAAAAACATTTCGTCCATAGCCCAGTGAGAGGAATCTACAATCAAAGGACCAGAAGCTTCTGGCTACACAGCCCTGAGTGATAAATTTTATGTGAAATTTTTAATTGTTAATAAATAATTCAGCTAAATAAGGACAGTGATGCAGTCTGTATCATACAAACATATAATACAACTTCTGAGATCAATTTAGTCTCATTGAGGGAATTTACAAATTCTTCTTAAACTTGTATCAAGTTAATGTAGATGAAGTTTTAGAGATTTAGAGGCAAAGGGAAGGGAAGAATACGTCTTTTCATATTAATTGGTTAAGAGAAGGATTCTTGAACAAGGAATCTGGAGTCACTGAAGACAAATTTACTAAATCCCCCGATTTCACCTGATAAATGTATGTTCCCAATTTAACTATTAAATTTTGTCTTCAAGATTATTTTAAAGAGTTATGTTTGAAACAAAATAGTAGGGAAGCAATAGTGACCACAATATTTTATTGATAGGACACTTAACCTATTTGCTAAGACACAAAGTAAGGAGCAATGAATTCTGGTGTAGATGAATAGAAAATAAAAGCTCACTGAATAGCTATTTGCATTTGGTATATTTACCTCTTTCCTCATTCGTCTTCCTTCTAGAAAGTGTACATTAATTTTTTTAATATCGCCACACATTTTAATTGATAACATTTTATTTTTTAACATCATTGTTGTATGTCTATTATATATTATTACAAAATAAAATGAGAAAATATTGCCATCAACCAAGACAGTACCTTTGCTTGGGTCCTGAATATAATTTAACTAGTTGTGTTTCAACATAGAATATTTTTCGAATGAACTTAGAAAGTGGCTGGTTATAGTCTAAGAATACGACAAATTTGTCATACTTTTGTTTTCAACATTGAATTGACAGTTTAGCAAAGGCAAACAAACAATAAATAAATAAAATATAATAAATCCAAAAAAGAAAGACGTGGTCTAATCACATAAGCACAGAAAGAAACAGGAAAGAAAAATGGGAGAAAGACAGAAAAAGAGAGAATAGGAGAGAAACTTTCATGTATCCTGCAGAGGAAAAGAGAACTGGGAAAAAGAAAGTTTATATTTAGGCAGAAAAATACAGGATGACACCTGGCTATACAAGTGGCAGAAAGTCACTGAAAACTTGTACTATGAAAAGCTCTGGATAATTATAAATGCAGATGATAAAAAGGACAATAGATCAAAATTCATAAAATATGTTCATTTTGAAAAGTTTTAGTAACAGAGACAAAACACATCATAGTTTAAGAATGCAATAGAAAAAAATCTGAAATCCCTGAGCCTTTTCCTTGTTCATCTTTCAATTGCTCCCTTTCCTCATCAGAACATCCTTTGGCTCTTCAGCTATGTAGAGATAAGTTCAGACTGATCTTCCCTGTGACTCTGTTTTGGTTGAGCCCTTTTCCATTACCTTGACTTTCAAAGCATGTTAAGGTCTCCTTCAGTTTCTAGCCATCTTTCTCTTAGTCTCTTTGCTTTATTTGTTTGTGGTCTCTCTTCGCTGGATGTGAGACACATTGTGTAACTGTAATCCTTTGTGTATTAGTTTTCTATTACTGCCAGAACGAATCACCACAAAGTAATTTCAGAGCATGGGAATAAATGGTGACAAGGTGGAGAGTTTTCATGAAGGCTCCCATCCAGGTGGAAACTAATCCATTGCATCAAAAGAAAATTAATGCTATCTCATTTCCCACTCTTAGGAGGTAGTGTCCACCAGCAAAGCCAGGTGTGGAAACACAGGAAACAGAGATGGGTAGCATGAACCAGAGAAGAGGGAAGGGCTTCCCTTGCCATGGTGAGATAGGCATTAATGTAAGAGTCACGTCATTGCTGACATACAAGTAGTTCATTGGCTTTGCGTCATAACAAAAAAATTATAGCATCCATAAATATATTATATGGAAAAATATTTGAATGCAATCACAGAGAAGATTACTGAGCTGTACATATGTAAATGAGGGAGCACAAATATGTCAAGAATGACCCTATTGGGCACCACACCTATCACTGAGAGTATATAAACGCCATGTCCAGATGGCAGCATTAAAACTCAGAATCTTCTCAGTTACACTCAGCTGAACTTACACCTGCCATCAACATGCCCTACAGCTGCTGCTCTGGAAATGCCTCCTCTCCATCCTTTGGGAGCTACCTGCGCTACCCAGGCACCTCCTGTGGCTCTTCCTACCCCAGCAACCTGGTCTACCGCACTGACCTCAGCTCCCCCAGCACCTGCCAGCTGGGATCCTCTCTCTGCAGTGACTGCCAGGAGACCTGCTGTGAGCCTACCAGCTGCCAGACGTCCTATGTGGTGTCCAGTCCCTGCCAGACATCGTGCTACCGCCCGAGAACCTCCTTGCTCTGTAGTCCCTGCCAGACAACTTACTCTCCATCTCTGGGGTTTGGGTCCAGCAGTTGCTGCTCCCTGGGCTATGGATCAAGGAGCTGCTACTCCCTGGGCTGTGGATCCAGTGGTTTCAGACCCATGGGTTATGGAGGCTGCCACTTCCCGTCTCTGAGCTGTGCATCAGGATTCTACCGGCCATCCTACTTGGCCTCTAGGAGCTGCCAGTCTTCGTGTTACAGACCAACCTGTGGATCTCAATTCTACTGATTTACTTGCTAAGGGTCTAGATCATTTTGAGTATTGAGATCAAAGTCTATACTCAGTGTAGCTATTGTTTTCCTTCTCACCAGTTACCATTATCCTTTTACTCTTTCATCACCAGCTTCTTGTATCACTAACTTCTGGCAGACTCTGAGATTAACAAGTAACCTAACATTATGTCCTAATATCTGCACTATTGATAGAATATATGTTATTTGATTGTCTTCCAAGAGCTACTGCAAATGAAAATTTTAATATAATAAATGTATTTGATCTGGCACACAAATATATTATTCACATTATTGTAATTATTATTTTGTTTATAGATTTGGTATCCAGTAATTTAGGGGATTAAAATATAAATAAATATGACTAAGTAACTGGATTTGGGGCACATATAATTTGATAGATCTGAGATTTCTGTTGACACTGGGTATGTTCTCTATCAGGAGTAATCATATTTTGTAAGACCATAGTTTGCACTTGCAGACTTGTCTCAACAGTAGTGAGAATTGCCTAAGGCTGTGGCACATGCATTTCTGCTGATAGAGAAAAACAAAGAAAGAAATTAATATATGAACTAGAAATGCAGACAAAAGAATAGCATATTATTTGTAAGGTGAGTTTTACACTTAGACAAAAATATACCCAGAAATCTAGTATCTGAGTGTGAATTTTCAGCCAACAATAAAATGAGCCTCAAGCAACTCCTAAGATAGATGCTTTGTTCCTTGTTAGTTGGCAAAAGTGTCAGGATCCCTGTCTCCCACAAGTGGGGTAGCCCTGAGCCTCACCTGCAAACATGTGTAAAAGGAATCACAATTATCTTAGGTGGGAGTAACTGGATTCAGGAGTTGTGGGTAACTTCCTGATACTACTCCAAGGTTCCACCTAAGTCAAGTTGAGGGCAATGCACCCGATTAGTGTTGAACAAACATTTATATTCACTAGTCTTAGTGTGGTTCCTCATTTCCATGAAAGCAGAACTAAAGTCAAAGGCTTGTATGCAGACATACTGCTGGCACAAGATCTCAGGAAGCAAGTATGAAAGCCCATACATGGATAAAGAACCAAAGAGGAAATCTCATGATTAGAGTTGGTTTTATGATGAACAACTTGACCTCAATCTTGCAAGGACATTTTAGGAGTATATAGAATGACTCTCAGAGTTGTCCACCTCAGGATCAGATCAACAGGGAGAAGTATTTATCCATTAGCTTCTATTTCCATGGGTTGAGCAATGTCCAAGATGTATAGTTTTTTGGAACCTCAAAATTGTGCAAGGGAAGAATCACAGTGGGCTCCTTCTGTGTTCCTAGCTGTGACCTTGGAGAAGGCCATGTACAGTAAAATAACATTGCATATTTTTTAGGGGAGATGCTGTCCGTGCAAAAGGGATTGAAGCCTACGTGAAATTGTCTGCCATAGCTATGCCTGGGATCATAGGTTAGAGTATATTACATGGGCAGGCACAACGAAATATCAGCTATACCATTTTCATTTACTATTTAAACATCCCTGTGAGAAAGACTAACACTATATATTATAAACCTTTCACACATAAGGGAATGGAGACTCAAAAGGATTTGAAACTTGCCAAAGTTTATATAGATCAAGGATCATTCTAGTTGAATTTCATCTGTTGAGTTAGTTCTTTTCTGTTGCTGTTTTCTGATTTTTTCTTTTCTTTCTTTATATTTTCTAATATACAACTTCTAGGTTAACTAAGGAGTCCTTAGTATTTCTGGTACTTAGAAATTGCTCCATCTGAATAGACTTAATCTACTATTGGACTCATTTCATTAGCCTCATGAATCGCATTAAGTTGGTGCAAAAGTAATTGTGGGTTTGGACTGTGAATTTTAAATCATTATAACTAGGCTCGATCACATCTTTATTAATCAAAATAGAAACCATTACAATCAACCCATTTTTGCCAATGAGAAATAAGTTTGTTTATTCCTGTAGCACAAAAATCTGTGCTTTGAGATTCCACAGACACTTGGAAAGTATTTTCTGTATCCTGTTGGTTGTGGAAGTGTTACCTGCAAAAGGCTGTTGAGATGCTTGAAGAAATTGTAGTCGGTTGGTGAGAGGTCAGGTGGATTTGGCGAATGAGGCAAAACTTCATAGACCAGTTCGTTCAACTTTTGAAGTTGTACAATGTGTGGTCGGGTGTTGTTGTAGAGAAGAATTGGGCCATTTCTGTTGACCACTGTCAGCTGCAGGCATTCCAGTTTTCAGTGTATTTCATCGATGTGACAGGCATACTTCTCAGATGTAATGGTTTCACCAGGATTCAGAAAGCTGCAGTGGATCAGACAAGCAGCAGACCACCAAACAGTGACCATGACCTTTTTTGGTGCAAGTTTGGCTTTGGGAAATGTTTTGGAGCTTCTTCTCGGTTCAACCACTGAACTGGTCATCGCTGGTTATATAAAATCCACTTTTCCTTGTACATTACAATCTGAGTGAGAAATGGTTTGCTGTTTTTGGGTACAATAAGAGAGGACAACACTTCAAAATGATGATCTTTTTGGTCAGCTCATGAAGCACTCACTTATCGAGCTTTTTCACCTTTCCCATTTGCTTCAAATGCCGAAGGACCATAGAATGGTCGAGGTTGAGGTCTTTGGCAACTTCTCATGTAATTGTAAGAGGATCAGCTTCCATGATTGCTCTCAGTTGGTCACTGTCAACTTCCGATGGCTGGCCACTGTGCTCCTTGTCTTCAAGGGTCTCTTCTCCTTTGCAAAACTTTTTGAACCACCACTGCACTTAGGCCAAATGTGTTGTTCATGTTGCAAGGATTCTCCACTGCTTTACGACCCATTTTGAACTCAAATAAGAAAATCTGCTGTAATTTGTTTTTTGTCTAAAATCATTGCCATAGTCTAAAATAAATATAAAATAAAGAGCAAGTATTAAGTCATTAGCAAAAAAACATAAATTGAGAAATGTGCATTAAAATGATATATAATATAATTACATTTATATAAGAATGTATTCCGATATCAAACAGTAAATCTCAACAATGCTAAAACTGCAATTACTTTTGCACCAAACTAATCTTTATAATAAAGAGTAAAAATAAAAATAAATTTAGAGTTTAGGGGAAGAACTCTGAAGAATGTAAACTAATATATATTTAAAAAATTTTTTATTAACTTTTTTTTCTTTTTTTTGCAGCTCCAAACTCCTGGGTTCAAGCAATCCTCCTGATTCAGTCTGCCAAGTAGCTAGGACTATAGGTGGGCACCAGTGTACCTGTTAATATTTAAATTTTTTTGTAGAGATGGGATCTTGCTATGTATGTTGCCAAGGCTGGTCTCAAATTCCTGGACTCAAGTGATCCTCTCACCTCGACTTTCCAAAGTGCTGGGATTAGAGTCATGAGCCACCACTCCCAACCTGTATTAACTATTCTACCAAATAAGAGACTGATATAAAAATATTTTGTGACATTTCAGGAAGAAATTGTTACAAATTTTGAGTGCTATTACAAATCTTGTATTATTCATTTTAATTATCATTATTAGTGTCACCTAGCTTATTCAGATCTAGTATTCAAGATGGTAGATATAAGGTGCTTTCTTTAATAATACTGAACAATATGAACAAGAGTAGTGAAATTGTCAAAATCTTGTGACATTTCACTAATTCTGTAAACCATATTCTCACTTTGAGCCATACGGAGAGAACTCCTGGAAAAGTTCTTGAGTAAATTAGTTGATAAGATGCAGAAGTAGTGTAGGATTTGGAAAACAAGATTGAGAATCTAGCATGGAAGACTCTATAGCTCAAGCAAGAAATATAAGAAAAATCCTTGCATATGCTTTGCAATATCATAATGACTTAGCAACACTAGCAATGACTTAAAAATCAACAAAATGATGGCTCAAACATAATACAACACATGAAGGTGAAAGTGGTGATTGATAAATTAAAGAAAAACATTGATTGTTAACATTATTTATTTAATATTTTTTAAAATTTCAGAATATTATGGGTGTAGACATAATTTCAGTACATAAAAGTGTTTACTTTTTTAAAAAATTACATATTCCATTTTTTTGGGCAGAATACTGTACCTTATTTGGATGCAAAATTGAGTTATATATTTACCACAGTTAAAAATGAATTTCTTCTCTGTTGGGTTGTTTCTTGTCATCACCATGATGTTGTCCTTTATCCAAATTTGTAATTTTTATTATTATTGAGAAAACAAATGATTTTATCTTCAATGTTGAACTTGTTAAATGATTTTACATTAACATTATTAAACAGAACATTATGAACTTTCCATGGCTTTACTTGGATTCTTTTGGCTGGATGAAGAAATCAAACCATTGTTGGAATTAATTCACTTTCTGTTTGAAGTATTTGACAAAACCTGTATAAAATTGCATTTGTTTAATCTTGAGCAATGTTTTTCTTCTATTAATGGAGGGGAATATTATGAGCTATCAGTTCAATCTTTTTGTTCATACACAAGAAAACTTAGGACTTAATATGAGTGAAAATGACTTAAAACAGTTATTTGACTTAAATGAAAATGTATGCATCAGAGAGATATATTGACATATCTTTTGCAACTATAATGATAAATAATAATTTTGGAGACAGTCTTTTTAAAAGTTTTGCTATCTTTTGAAGAAGATACTGATATTTATTCAGTGAAATTGCATCTTCTGTTTCTCATGTGGTCAATGGATATCACCAACATTCATGTTAATAAATATTATCAAATTGTTGTACAGCTTATATATCTATCATAAACTTTTTTTAGTAGTCGAAATTTGTAACTCAGAACTTTCCTTTTTTTTTTTCATAAAAAGCAAACTTTTATTTTTGGCTCATTTTTCCTAAAAGGATTTCTTTTAAACAGAATTTGCTTTTACCAAACAATAAAGTAAATAGTTGTAGATTTAAACAATGTATCACATGGCCAAACAAATATAGTGATAACATTTAAATTATTCTTTATATACTCTGTCGCAGCCTCA